CAATTGATACTACTGTCGAGCAAAATTCGGGCCCCCATAACTTTTTAAGGAGAACCATTTTGCAAATTTAATTTCCATTTTTGTAAACAGCATTCAAAACCCTATCGATCTATCTGGGTCCGAATTCAAAGTTCCAAGATAAGTAGACTACCCCTCCCTGGTTAGACATCCACGCTCTGGTCTAATTCAAAAATTCTTAAGTTTCAGCAATATTCAATCTGCAGAATATGGCTCAAAGAAGTAAACCACTGGAAAAAGATTCCTGTCAATTCAAGTGAATTCAAACTGAAAACTAGATTAAGCTACCGGGACACAGCAGAGGAGAACTAGTACATCGACATAACCGCACTAGTCCCATGAGAACCTCTCTCTCAGCTCTCTTCCAACTCCTAATTCACTTCAAACATTTTATCGCGGATCTCCACCTGCTCGGACAGTTACGGATCGTGAGAGTAAAATCCACATCGATACACCCACTACAGTATCTAGGTGGTTCTACAAAGACCACCAGCGGTATCGAAGTAAAAATTACACTCTACGAGGCCAAAACGGATCTCATCATACCCCACCGCACCCCACAAAAGCACACCTGGGGTACATTCGAGAACAGCAGCGTTCTCAATTTGTACTACTTTTTTATTCAAATGAGACACGTGCTTTACGGATAGAGAAGTAATAATTTATCTCAAAACTAGTTTCAAACATTGAGGGCATCTCTGTGTCATTGCAGGGCTTTCACTTGAAATGTGGCTGTTACTACTCACTTTCCCTCCACATTAGCACTTGCCATGATCTTTTTGCTAAGTGTACTTTGAGAAAATATCGATCAGGAGCTGCCCAGCGTGCGGCTTCCTACCCTTGGCTGTGAAAGCCTTCATTACGATGTGCGATTCTCGAACTTTCACATGATATGTAGAGGAAGGTCAACACTATTTAATTTCAGCTCTAACTCAAAGCAATTAAAACATTCGCAACACTCGCAAATGATAGGTAGCCTAGCGAGGCTTCTATATTGACCAGGACGTATCAGTATCTCCGATCCCGACTATAATTACCATCATCTTTCCCAAAAAACAATCTAACTCGACTCAAAAAGAGGTCCCTAAAATAAAGGACTGACTGGGGGTATGTTTTTCTCGACCTCCTTTCCCTAGACATCACAGTTCGAATCCCTACTTGCCCTATTCTTGGTGCGCCATGGTACGTTGCACTTTGAACCACACTCCCACACTCCCGCTTGACACGTTACATTATTACACCTCTACTGACCTCGGGCCCAATTCTTAGAACGACAGATTTCTCGAGCTGTTTCAGTAGAATGAAAGTAAGAATGCCTTCGTCAAAAGGGAGGAGGGCCCCGAATAGTTACTGGGAGCATAATGATCAGGGAAACGAAAACCTAATTTGGAAACATGATGCCTTACAAGTGATGTCGGACGTTTAAAATGTAAAATTAACTTGCTAAGGCAACAGTAGAGAAGTAAAAAATAATGATGTCCTCGGTCTTAAGGTAAATAACGCTATGAAAATCCAAAAAATCAATCGCATACCATTATCGGTTCAGTCGTTGTCGTGATCGTTTCCACGGCGACATCGATTTCAACGTTCACAATAATCAAATCTCTCGGCAATATTTGTGGGAACAGAATGTCTCTCTTTATATATGAGACATAATCCGAATGTGATGGATTCGGATGAATACGCATCTGTAAAAACCATGCTGTAGAAAAACGAAATACTTTCAAACTCGGGGGCTCCCATGAAAAAGCCTCTAATACCCTGCATATAAATATGATGCTACAACCCACATCAATTTCTTTCAATTCCGCAGTCCTAAGCATAAACCTCGACTTGAAGCCGATTTTTGTCGATTTGGCATTGCTGTTCACCTGCAATGGGACTTATTATATTATTCTGCTTTTTGAAAACACAACTACCCTCGAAAACAAACCATAAATCAAACGAAATTGTCATAACATTGAACTTGCACTGCCAGAAATGACTATTGAGTACAAAGCCAAAGCAAAATAATAGGCCATAGACGTAGAAAAACAGGAAAACATAGTAAAATGAACTCACAACACGATTCAGACATAAAAACACAAAGTCCTTGTTGTTCTCGCCATTCCCCTTAGGATAGATTTTGATTGACCATGTCAACGTTTCATCGCCTCTCGATAAGTAGACAAAGTTCTCCAAGTATTCTTGATAGCAATGGGAGAAATTCTTCACTGTCCAGCTATGATTCACTTTCTGAAATTAATACATTGCAATCATAAGTGGTAGGGGGATTTGTCTGCACACTTTCCGTCTCACCAAAATCAAGGGATCCCGCGTTGGAGAGGTCATTAGGGGATCCCTTTCAACATAACTCAATTTCTCATTACCAGTGTGCTACCGTCCCTTTACGAATAAATGTCTTTTACATTCTCGCACAATTTTTCGGCTTACTAAAGTGCAGATCAGTGGCTTGCCTCGGAAACTGAATTAAGTAGAACCAAAGAATCCCTATTAGAGCTCCATAGTCAGTCTTGTCCTCTCAAAATCTCATTTTCGGTGAAATGCTTTTTTGTTACAGAAAATGAGTCAGCCCATAAACGCTGCCATTTCCATCCAATCGCCAATGCACGCAATCTACGAAAAAAGGTTGAGGTTTCAGATAGCTATTATCTGGAGCTGTGAAGAAGTGTCCTCAGATATTACGGTGCGACAGGAATGCTCAACAAGAAAGGAAACGAGGTGAAACTACTACGTTTATCGCAGCCTTTCTAAGTCAAAGAGAAAGAAAGGTCAAGCTTAGAAAAAGCATGAGCTAAGAAGTAGCTTTCTGAGTGCGACTCATAAACAACAAAAAAAGGCTCGGGAGCTTTATTCTAACAGTAAAGTAAGGAAAGGGCTGCAGAAATCAATCGTTGGCTTACATCTTTCGGTCGTTTACTTCTCGGGACACAAAATACCCCATGACCACCTCTTTTTTAGTAGCATCAACCAATCATCGGACGAATAATCATTTACTTTTTTGTTTGATTGAAAAATCACTAAGCAACTGAACCTCTTATTAGTGGTATTCATTCCAGTCTATTTTTTTACTAGAATTTCAATTGGGCAATACTGAATAACATTAAAAATCGATCGAGGCAAAAAAAGGGTCAAGGCCAATGTTATTATCTTGAAGATCACTTTTAATTATATGGTAAACGAAGAATATAAAAGTAAAAACCTAAAAGACTCACTTCAACTTTGATTTCCGTTTGTGATGAATGCCCGGCATGTACCGGTACACAAGTTGACGATGAAGATGACGATTCATTTGGAATGTTCAGGTCATGGGGTTCTACCGACATCTGTCAAACATGAATTTAGGCAAAAAAGTGAAAAAAAAAGAAATTCTCGAAAAAAAAAAGCAACGAATGTGTAGAAAATATTGAAGCGGATTTAAACCGCTCTATAAAGACCCACAACAACTATTGAACATGAAAATTGAAATTTTTACTATCACCATAAATGAATAGCGCATGAATGAACACACAAATGCATTCGTACAGACATAAAGACAGAGACTTCAAACACAAATGAATGAAGAGCGACAATGCTAGTGTGCCACTACAATCGTGTCGGGATCTTTCCAATTGATACCGTATATTTTCCATGACGACTTGATCAATGGCCAGATGATGAGAATACTTTTGCTGCTCTGAGTGTTGTGTGCTGATGATTTTATGATTCCGGCACGAGTGGAGCGGCGCGCTGCCTCGCCAAACACACACTTGATGTGGTGAGATTTAGAAGCTCAACAAACAATATTACTTATCGATTATAACCGATAATAGCCGACTATAAGACATTGTAGGTATGGTTATTGATTGTGAAAAACAAATCAATTAATTAATGTGAATTCAACGAGAAAACTAGCAACATCATTCGTCAACTATTGTACGCTGCAGGACCCATATCACTGAGAAGCGATCATATCCATTATCAACATCTCATCAAACCCATTCTAATACTAAACCATTGCCAACATTATTAGCCGGGCTGCCGCCTGGTCATAATTAGCTATTGACGGCCTTGCTTTGTCATGAAAATCGATTTGTTATTGATTGCTTTCCCAGGCGGCGCCGGACGAGTTCACCATCATCGTCATCATCGCCTTCGTTCTATTGCACGTGATGAATTGTTGGATAATGGTGTTTGACAAAATGGTATCGATAATCAATCAATGAATCAATCAATCAATAATGACAGCTTAAACGGACCAAATGGATTATAAGACACGTTGCTCCGAATACAAAACGGGCGGGGGATGCATTAGGAACGGGTTCTGGTGAGAGACGACGTAAAAAGGCATACATTTAGATCAATAGCACAGTAATTCGTAACAACTTCTGAGAAATTTTGAGTTCAGAAAAATAAAAAGAATAAGAAAAACAGATTGGGAAACTGAATGAAAATAGAAAAGTAACACTCGAATTCTCAGGGCATATATGAAAGCAGAAACCGGTACTGAAAAATGTCGTGGTGGATATTGAGGAAGACAAGCAAAACCGAGCTGATTCGATAGGATCATATAACTGATTTCGTTAAAACATAACTGAATGTAGGAAAATCCAAATATGTAGGCGATTTTTTTTTCTACATGAAACAATACATTCATGTAAAATGTAAACCTCAAATATGTACAAACAGTATTACAAAATCAATCAATACGTATCTAACACATATTAGTAGTGAGTGCTAAGCATCAACCTTATTAAACCACATATTCCATGTTGGAACGCAGGAAATTTGGGATAGAAATTGGGTTGAAAACGAGGAGGGCGTGTCGCAGAGGCCGTGTGCCGCCGATTGGCGAATGCCTTTACGGCGTACACATGCAATTCGACACCAAACCGCACTAAATCACAATCTACCGTATTTCCGTATAGCTAAAATGGGAATTTAGTGTTAATATGTAATATTGTTGGGGGTTAGTATGTGGGCTAGTAAAAAGGCACTTTGTGACAACGCAGAACTGAACTAGAACATGGTACAACGTCTCCGAGGCGAAAGCAACCGATTTTTAATGGGATAAAACGTAATTAAGTCATAATTATCATATGATAACAGTTAACAACTAGGATTATTAACGTGCACAGTCCATTTCTTTGAATAAGGCGATTATTAGTGCGAGCGATATTTCTCGCTGCCTCTGACGTGAAGTATAGACGAAGCAGAGTTTTCTATTTAAAAGACGACCGCAACGCGCCCGCGCTCGCAGGAACGCTTAGCCTTATAAAAGGAAATGGGCTACACAACAGATGTGAAGTAGGCTGGAAAGGCTGTGTGCATGATCTCAACAGAAAAGGTACTTTTGAATAGATCACCGGTCAGGACCGGAGAGTTGAGGGCAATAATGAATGAGATAGAGAATAGCAAATGAACTCTAGAACCTTGAAGAGATACCTCTACTAAACTACAACGAACGGTTCTCACTCACTTATGGCGTGGTCGATTTCGTGAGCGAACCGTCTGATAGCCGTCATTCTTCACCGAATCACGTTCACTCGACTCACCACCATCGTCGGACGCGAGCCGTGGTGTTGTGTCGCGTCGTGCCGCTTGGACACGCTCGCCATTCCGTTTATAGTAGGTCGTCGGATACGCTTTGCGAGATGCAGGTCCGCTTCGTGAGCTTCTTAGTGTACCGTTGACAAAGTTTGACTGAGGATGAGGGGCAGGGGATGCTGTGCCGCCGGTCGGTGAATGAGTAACGACAGGCTTACGACGCATACTATTACCACCAGTAACCAGAGGTCTCGTACCGCGCCCAGAGGCGCCGTCCCGCGACAGTGACGCAGCCCGCTCGGTCTTGTAGTACTGCTGGTTATGGAAAACACGGCCATGGGAGCTGGGTGGGGCATGATGGCTGACTGGCTGTGCTGTTTTTGCGCTTGTCAAGGGGGGCGTCTTGTTCTCGCTTGGTGACGGTGTGCGATCCTTTGTCGCAGGGGAATTGCCGTTCTTTTTGTCAATGTCGTCGATAAGCTGCTTGGGCTTTGAGCGACCTGTCGTACCGGCAACAATGGCAGCCAGTGTTGCCGGCTTTTCACCATTTCTGTGCCCTTCTTTTGCGGTCACGTTTTCGCTATTCTTCGCATTGCCATTAGTGAGATTTCCAACCTGAAAGACTACCGTCAGAGAAAAGGATAACTGGCAGAAAAGTTTTGGGAAAAAGCTCTGTCTCACCTTTTCAATGACAGCTTCTGACGAGTCACTCTTCACCGAGGCCGTCGCTGAACGATCCGTTTCGTCAATTGGTCCATTGACGACGGGGCCAGCAGCGTCTGAAGCCGAACTCGACGTGCACGTCATCTCACTGCCGTTCTCGTGTGATGGTGATGTGGCCGTCGTTGTCGTCGACATTCGTTCCAGATCTCGTGGATCTACAATCTCCAGTGGCCTCGAACTGCGGGGCAATGACATAATGTACTGCTGTAGAGCACACTTTGCCAAATCGATCGACTAAAATCGAATAAATCAATAAATTGACACAGGCACCAGTCAGAATTTGAACCTACCGGTGCAAGCAGTGTATTGCACACCACCGTCGACGGTGGCAGCTCTGGTTCTTTATATTCGAGGACGAAACTCTGAAGTAAAAGGACGTTTGGAATCAATTTAGCTGTCAATACGAATAAGTAAACAAATAAGTAAATAAAGTCAAAACACATTTGGTCTTAGGAAAAACTACCTTCAGCCAATTCCTATATTGTAGCTGTTCCTGGGTGAACGGCATAATCAACGACATCATACTTCCTTTATAGAAACGCTGCCAATCGACGCCACAACGCCGATCACGAATGAAGACGCCCTTGAGAATCTGAACACTCATCATACAGCTCAAAAGGGACAACTAACCAACAGACTTTCATGTTTGATATTGAAGGTTCTGAAACATAAAACTAAAATGTTTTCCATTTAATAACGCTTTCTAACTCACTTCAAGCGAATTGAATTATAAAATCCAACGTAACCTTTCGGGGAAATAAATCGAGTAAAAACCCTGGAAGTTCACTTGTACCTGAAAAGATTACTCAACGCCCAGTCCAAGGAAGATAGGAGAGTTAATGAGGTCAATTTAGAGAGTGATGTGTCTTTTTCAGTTTTCATCCGACATTTCGGCTCCACGGAAACGGTCAAGGAAATCTTGCCCAAGAGAAATAATTTGAAAATACGAATACAGTTAAAGGATTTTTAAATTACAGTTAAAGGATTAAAGGATACAGGATTTTTTTTTCTGAACTGAAAAATAATAGAATCACTGAAATAAATACTCAACGAATAGGGAACACGGTTATAGAAATAATACAAAGAGACTAAATAAAACCCTAGGATAAAGGTTAACACTCGAAGTAAAAATCGAGTAAGGAAGACCCCGCCGAAGAAAGATCTCTCGTACCTGTAGGGCTTGCTCAAATGCAGATCGAACCAGTGCATAGTTAAATGATGAGCGACCGACTTCATTAGCTGAAACGCAAGATTTGAGATAAGTTTAAGCAAAAAAGACTAAACTCATTTTCTGAAAAAAAGCATCGGTCCTACAGCGGAATTAAAAAGGAAGATGGAATAAACTGGAGCTAAAGAGACGAAGTTTAGGGACAGGGAAGACAAGAAGACAAAGGCAAAGAAAATATGAAAGAGAAAATAAATTGAAAAATTGTGAAAATGTAGAATGCAAAAATAAAGGGATTAAAGAAACCCGATTTCAAACTTAATTTCCAATGGGTTGCCATTGTTTCTTTTTAGAGGCTAATATGTGAAGGCTTTCAGAGCCCACTCTCATGCACTGAGGGTAGACAAAGGACTTTTCGAGCAGAATTTCAACAAGACCGTAGGGTCTATCGGAAGAAGAACGATCCTTTTGTGCCTACCAACTGCTGCGATGGTATATCGATAGGCATGCTTTGTGCAGGCAACCGTTCTTGATCTTGAATTTAACGGGACGAGAATAACAGATCGACTCTAAATGTTGGTAAAGAAAAGAGGTTGACTTGAGGTACCTATAAGGAGACCCGATTGCGATCAAACACGACGATGAGCGACAAACGACGACAGCAGACGATTGGCACTGAAGAATTTCCCAATTGAGACGGCAGGCGGTAAGACGGGTAGCGGAATCGATAAATAGGATAGGGAACAAGAAGAATATTTTCAAGACTGAACGTCAAAGATCGAATATTTATGAGTTTCTCTCGACAAGGGACTCTTCATGCTCGTTCTTTCAGCCAAGACCACAAATTAAGCTTCCCGCTCCTCCACGGAAGCTCATCCATTCAAAGGTCACAGTAACCAGGGACTACAACGATTTCTACCTTTGAAATTATTTCAAAAAATGAAGTAGTGACTAGGACAGCGGTGCTATTTTCTTAAAGAAACACTACCAGCACCACCTGTTCACCCACTACAAATGATCACCAAAAGGTGCACTCCCATCGACATAGAGAATCACCTGGAGAAGGCGCGGTCGTGTTAAAGATAGATATACTTGAGTGCAAGGTGAATAAAATACACTGCAAAGAAGAAGAGATCCATAAGAATAAGGTGGGCGGAGCATGCGCCAAACAAGGCGGTCCTCAACTCAAAATCCGTAAACGGCCCAGAAATGGCAAGACGGCATTTTTCTTCTCAGAGATGGCAAAATAGCATTTCTAAACTTCTAATGAAAGTGTTTATAAACTCTACATTATCAGTTGATCACGAAATCTGCTCCAAAGTTGGTGGCAGATGGCATATAGCATCAGATGGCATATAGGTCATCAGGAACCAGAAGAGCAAAAGGAAGGCGCCTCATGTCATTAACCGATCAGAATAGCAATGGTCATCTACAAAGCATGTTACCAATCCCATGCCCGTAGACGAATAGGGACAGATTTCACCGACTGAGGCGTTCGGGGTTATATTATTGTGGGACAGACTCGCCCCTAAATTTTATTCATGACGGCCGTAACCCGTGCAGAGCCGCCATAAAAATCGTCCATAAAACCTCATTCACTCATGGTACAGTCTAATGAAAATAGAGGATTGTTGACCTAATTTTTATTACAACGCCTCTCTATGATTCCAAAAATAGAAGCCCAAAAGTCATAGCTACCTTAACGAGATGCAATTATCGCAGTAATTGACGTCACCCAGGTGCATCTGGTTCAAAATCAAACTTCAACGAGGCCAACGTTCAAACCATCCATATCAAAAGCGACAACAGACAATCCAATTCAGCAGACCTTTATCGGACACTCGGGCACGAGACCAAACTCGAGCCTGATAAGCATTCTTGCATCTCGAGCTTTACTGTCTACTTATCGCAAATAAATTTATTACAGTAACCGCTAACCCAAAAAAAAAGATTGCTGGTAAACATGGTTTGTTGTGGAGTGCCTTACACGATTCATTCTTTACTGATTATCGTAGGGGACCGGAATTAGAGATTAAGAGCGTCCTCTGCGTCTCTGATGCCTTCTGCCTGATTAAAGTTGAAGTTAGAGTAAAGTTCCTGCATGGCGAGAAGGGAAACTCAACAAAAAAACTTCTGGGATGCGCCATGCTTTCTACGTCTTGGTTTGAAAGTAGTTGGGCTTAAATGGTGCTGAAAGTAAAAATTTATTAACCGGTAGGCGTCAAATCGAGTACTTTTTCCTTCCAGCTACGTCTAAAAGCAACTTAGCGAACAAATGGGGATATAGAAGTTGGTAGGGACCTGGGAAGCGTTCCGTTCAAAATGGGCAGTACCAATTTATGCAACACTACAGTCCCGGTTCCAATTCCGGATCAATAGTTGCCCTGGACATCCATGATTTCTCTGCACCCGTCCTATCTGTTCTACTATTGCACTGTGTTGATTATGAAAAATACATTAGAGCTCGCGTCCGAAGGAATAGAACCGGCATCTAGCTCCTTATGAGGCACATCCTTGTCATTGCACCATCACTTCTCATTATAATTACATTGAGGTCATGTTATAAAGGAACACACTCGAAATTTCAACTTCTTTTACTTGAGTGATTGTTGCAACTGCAGTCAAGTTCTGTCTGGCCCCCACTTTCGCTGTGTTGCTGCAACCTCAGATTCCACAAATTACCGTACGCCAAAAAAAGTTCGTCGTCTAATTACAGGGCGTAATGCATTCCAAATCTGACAAATACAGGGCGAGGTTTGCAAAACTCTGCACTTTGCAACGAGCACAGTGTACCTTGCGAGAAATCCCAGTCAGGCCGACCACTCGATATTGACGTCCGTGCAAGCAATAGCAATAATCTATGGCATTAATCTTCAAACAAAGATGGCGGCGCAACGATGTGAGCACAAAAACCATCGCAATGAACGTCAAAGGCACCAGATAACGGCCACGGACCGGGTGAGCCACTTATGCAGGCGGTGCTGTCTTCCATACACCACCCTCCATTTTACACCAATCATTTGAGGACGATGACTTTGAAGAATATCAGAACGATCAAGTGAGACAGTGAGAATCCATTCTATAGACGAGACCGATTGCTGGAAAACCTTAGGTCTCATCATGCCTAATCTCGAAAGCGATTTAAACTAAACAGCATCACAGGAATGGCAGTTCGGGGCAAAACCCCGGCTTCAAACGGAACGAGGACCTCCGCATTGTTGCCTTACAAACACCGCAGACCCCGTCCTATAGCTGTACTACTGCAGTACCTCTAGTCCCCTCAGATTTTACCGAAAGATCAAGTCAAAGCAAACCGCCGTATAGATAATACAGTGCATGGGGAGCCCCATGAAGAGGCGTGTTGGTAGATAAGAGAAAGGAAAAGAAAAAGAAAATGAACAGAGAAATGCTGAGATGAGGGAAAACAATCTGTATAACTTTGATGGTACGGTAGCTGACAACTACATCATCCCGACCTCGATGATGACATTGCGTTCTTGTCATCGAGCATGAAAAAGAATGAGCGATTGCTTTGTGTTTTCAACTACGTGCAAGTGGAAATGTCGATATGCAAATGTATTCCACGAAAAAGACGTTCCCGAAGAAGCAGGCCGATTCTCATATGCCATTAAGCAGTACGAATTCCAAATTAGGGAAACTTTTTATGACCGGCTATTCTCAAAGCTAGGAGGCCAACTCGAAGTAAAATCGAAATGAGTAGGGACCCACCCACGCTGAAAGTAGTGAACGCTGAAATGGGCGGTTACCGAGCCTTATTCGCAATCTGTTTCCATGAGTGTGACCGGATTTCAAGAACATCCGCCTTCTTTCAAGTGCAATCGACCTTGTTACATCCAGCAAGTCTGTTCCGGGTCTCTTAAAGTCTTCACTGGGCAAAATGAGTTTAGCGTGTGGGGTTGGGGTGTCAACGCTATCCAACGTGGCATCCAAAGGACAACGCTCAGAATCTCTCGATGCGCTCATGTGCAATGGAAAGCCCGAGGTTGCGTTTTGACGTCGGGCATCTAGGACAACACCATATTAGCTTGTGCATGGGAGATTAGCTAGGTCATTGGACCAGAGCACATTCGATTGGATACTTTTTCAGGTCAGACGGGGACGAGAGATCACCCAACAGACTTCTTCTCCAATGAGAGCCCCTCAGCTACTGAACTATGTGGAGTGGCTAGCGACAAGAGTATCCACTTCAGCAACTCGAGAGGTGATATACATAGGAACTTAGCACCAGAAATACTGTATCAACAGAGGCCATTCAAAATTACCGTATGACTAAACAGTGGGAACATAAAGAAATGCTATAAAGGACGTCCCAAAACCGCTTTGACGCTTAAGTACATCGAGACATAAGGAAATATCACCTGACAACTGCCATAAATACCCTTTGTTCAGGGGAAGATTAACAACGACAATGTCCGTGCCACAGTTATTGGGGCATGGGTATTGATTTTATTGATTTTTCTGCCACTCGTTTGAAGGTAACATGAGGAAGAAGCTATGGCCCATAGATTCTTTGGTTCTAACAAACCGAGTCACTACAAACTTTCAGAGGAAGGAAGGAAACAAATCAAGGATAAATAGACAAATGTACTAGAAAGTAGGCTGTACTTGCAGCCTGACGAGCCTACCTGCAGGTTTTCCTATCCACTCACTCACAAAACTTTGCCTTACCTCAGTCCTGGCCCTATCCTAAACCCATGCCAACAAGGTCCGGCTCGGGGATAAGGACAGTCATGAGGACATATGAGAACGATAAAGCGATTCAAACTGTTCCAATCGTCTTTTGAATGTGGAACGACGACGATCGGTGATTTCGATTCACATTAACTTAACGACACGCCATTTCTGCCAGATGCCTTCATTGTCAATGTTCAGTAAGAAATGAAGGACGACGTTAACTGGTCCTGCACAGAAAACTCGTAATTTAATAGCGAAGAGTCGGAATAATAATTTTACGGTGAGTAGCTAGATTGGAGATCGATTTGAATATGAAGGTCATGACAATTGAAATCCAACTCGTTGAGGATACTGTGGAGAAGCAACTCACTTCAGTAAG